GATACTTATCCGTACCACTCATTACAAAGTGAAGCGTTCCCTTTCCTTACCCTGGAGGCATAAGGGTTCTGCAAATTGATTTCTTTAATTTAACAGCCGTAGCTAAGATAGTGCAACTACGAGATCAATTTTAACTTTTAAAGTATAGGATTTACAAAATGTAGGTGTTCTCGTGCTTAATACAGTTGGAAGAATTAACATAGTTTTTTACCAGCAAAATGTTTAGATTTTGAAAATTAAACCAGAAATAGACAAGATAGTACACCGATTCATATTGAAATACAAAAGCAATGATAAGGTATAAATTTGATGACAGAAAAATAGACACAACTAATATTTCATTCCAAATCCATAATATAAAACATCTTCTGAAAGTATTACTGCGTCTGGAAATTTGTAGATAATAACACTATTCCTGTTTTATCAAAACCAATAGCTCTTTTTAGAACAAGAGGAAAGATAAAATAATTATTTATTACTTCTGTGTAAATCAGATGTAGTCGTTTCATATCTTCGTGGCTGACGCCACTCAGATATGAGAAGACTACATTCAATACTTGTTTTTTGTTAAGTGTTACAAGAAAAGGATGAAAATTAGAAAATGTAACATAAGTACAATGGTCTAAATATAATACCATTCAAGAATTTCGATTGCTCTGATTTATCGTGTTGTAAATTGATTGTAATCAGGTAATAGCAGAGTGACGATTCTATATTATATCAATTACACACCACGTCTCACGTTAAACGGAGTGTGCTTTACATATAATTGAATACACTGTTAATTCAGTCCTTAAAGCAGGGAAAGATTTTCATTGTTTTTCTGTAATTGGTGATTTGCAAATTCAGTCTAGGAACAGTATAAAGTTTCAGGAAAGAATTTCTTCTGTGATAGGTTTTTTTTTCATTTTTATTTGTTCAGAAACTTTTCATTTTTTTTTTTTATTTAATCAGAAATCTTTTCATTTTTCTTTTCTTAATCAGAAATGTTAATAAAATATCTTTTATTCACGGAATTCATTATATATGTTTCCAAAATGAGAAGATCAGTGATGTTATTGGCAGGTTTTTTTTCTTAATAGATTGTGAAAACTGAGTTGCAAATGTTCGCCTCCAAAAAGAACATTCCGCAAAATCTGTAATTCCTCATTAATTTTGAATTGCTTTAATTTTACTGCAATGCTAAGATACATTGACATTAAAATAGAAAAAAAACTGAACCGAAACATTTTTTTACCACCTTAACTTAACTTGAGCAGGAAGATTTCCCTCCATATTTATACATATGGCGCAGTCAATGCTTTGATATTGTGTTGAATTGAAATCAAGGCAATGGTTTAGTTCCGGAATCAAGATGCAAATCCCCTTTTATAAATATTGCAAAGTCAGTGCTCTGCTTTCAAAAATACCAAAATCATTTCAATGGAAATTTAAGTGATAAGGAGATGAGCAATGCCAGTGGTTTTAAAAGATTCTATGAAGTTTTAGTTGAAAAATGACAAAACAAAACTTAACAGAACATCTAAGAAAAGTTCACAATTTGGTCTTCTACAACTCAACTAAATTTCTCTCCACTTCTCTCCCTTTCTAGGTCAATTTATCTGCATCAACTGATCATCATTCTTAAGTTTGTAAATGTAAAGAAATTCATGCTTTCTCATATCAAAATGAGTACAAATATACTGCGTTTCAGAAGTCTATAAAGCAGTTGTAATTCAAGGTTTTGTAAAACAGGTGTAAAACAGAAAATGGTCAAAGAATTTTTACCATTTACCTTTTTTTTTTACCATTTTTGATTCGAGCGTCACTGATGAGTCTATTGTAGACGAAACGCGTGTCTGGGTACAAATTTTTAATCCTGGTATCTATGATGAGTTTTTTACCTGTCAGTTTTGCAAAGAAAAGAAAGGAACACATTGCAATTATTAATAACATATTTCCTTTCCAGAATCTCGATTACCTTGGTTCCTCTTGTTGATAATTGATTGTAATTAGAGAGTAACAATTCTCTATATCGATTACACAACTCTCCTCACGTTGAAAGACGTGTGATTTATATTACACAATCGCGTAAACTGTTACATAAGAAAGAGACGAAAGATTCCAAAGGGATATTCAAACTGAAGTCGAAAATAAACTGACAATGCCATGGCAAAAAACCGAAAACCGACGAAAAGACAAACAACAATGACTGAGCAACAACGAACCCCATAAAAAACAATCAGTGTTTAGAGCAGGGAAATTTTTTCATTCTTTCATATGCATTGTAATTTGAAGAAATATGCCAACTGGTCCTATTCGTATGTGTGTGTGCTCAATATGAAGTAAGCACCATTTTTATCAGAAAATTAAACCTCTGACCAAAAAAATGTCTGCTGTGAAACTATATCATTTTGTTCCAACCTTTTAATTTTCTTATTTATATATATATTCCTACCAGAAAAGATACAGTGACACTGAATTCATATGGTGAGTTGTTTGACCTTGGATAGCCACACATAGAATGTGGTGGGGTTTTAAATGTTTGTGAGGGCTCAATCCTCCCCTAATCTGGGACAATGGCGCAACATTCCAACACAAGAACAAACTGTAAAATCAGTTGGAAATGGCCTGACTCCTCATGTCGACACGAAGCATAAAAACGGTGATGTCTTAGGGTCAGATAAGAGTCAATTACCAATCCGCTATTGCGTGATGCCTAATCTCTTGATATAACTTATCAATATATTTTAACACGACGGGTGTCATATATGGAGCAGGATCACCCCTGGTTTTTGGCGGGGTTCGTGTTGCTCAGTCTTTAGTTTTTTATCTAGTGTTTTTTATATTATTGTTTGTCTTTTGGTTTCTTTTCGTTTTTTGCCAGGGCGTTGTTAGTTAATTTTCGACTTACAAGCTTGACTGTCCCTTTGACACATTTTGTCTCTCTTTTATCAACAGAAATTGTTACTCGCATTGTTTGGAGGCCGTAAAAGTTCCTGCGTTTGAGATGTACGTGTATGTTCTTATCTTTTTCAGTTTTGACCTATTTATTTTTAAGATCATCTCCAATATAAGTGCTAACTAATTTTCTCGATTTTGGTCAGTTTTTTTATTGATAATTGTTTTGCAGTCAACTCGAATTAGTTGCTCTATTCATACGCAATTCTCTACCAAATTATCTATCACACTAGTATATGTTTATGTGCCCGGTAGTTGTCTTCATGTTTGTATTATTTTATATTTTGTCGGACAATTTATGACAGCATTTGTTAGATTACAGATGTAGCTAGATCCATATCTAGAAAATAATGTTGCTCAAACCGGTGTTTGTTGCCGTCTTAGACATGCAGTGATGTGATATATTTTGCTCCATGTTGCAAGCCTCACTGTAATTTTGAGATGAAGAACGGCAATAAGAGCGCTGTTCCTTTGCTGTTGGATTTTTTTATTTGCGCGTAGTGTTTTTGTGTCATGAACTATCTTTTCCATAAGTCTTGCCATGTGATTACACAATTTTGTTTTCTGTTTGTATTTGTTTAACATGTGGATCTAGAATTCTGTAAACCAATCCAGACTTGCTTTTAGTACCAAGGATACTTGTGTTTTAGGAAGGCTAATCACTGGAATTGTTTTTAGTACAAGCACTTATTGTGTCAACAGTCTGAAGCGAATTCTAACAAATGACGATCTGCTTCGTTCTCCAAAATCTATTTAAAAATGTGTTGTGTGTGTTTGTTTTATACTTCCATCAGTACGTCTCTTTTTTTATCAATTTTTATTGTTTATGATATAAATCAAATATCTATATACTTGAATATAGTTATTAGATTATGTACAGGTGTAGATATTTGAGTGTCCGAATAAAATTATGTAATTTGATTTAATCGTGTCATTATAAACCTGCAAATATTTTTGTGTCAAATTTTATTGCATTCTGATATACGTACAGAAATTCAGAGACTTACGTTTGACGTCATTGTTGATTTTTTTGTATGTCCATGAAAGTATCATTTACTGATATGTACTATTGAATAAGGCGTGAAAAACATAACCCGTATAGTAATCAAGATGGGTTTGTTTTAATCGACATACACATTGCCCGTTATAAATGCTAGAAGACATTGAAACCAATATAAATATTAGGAGATGTGGTACGATGGCCAGTGAGCCAACTATCCAACAGAGACCAAAGTACGAGGATGTTAACAACTACAGGTCACCGCGTTTGGTCATCAACAATGAGCAAAATCCGTTCCGTATAGAAAGATTTAAAAGTCCCCGGTATGACAAAACGTGAAACACCAATGAACAAAAACAAATATTGCAAAGAGGCAACCAATAACAACCACTCAATTACAGGCATAGGAATTTCTTGGAACAGCGCGGCACATAAACAAAGTGGTGGAATACAATATGTTTATCACTTAACCTAGCCGCCTGGAATAGTGGTGCAACATAATAGCATCAGAATAAACTGTAAAAATCAATCGGAAAAGATTTGACTCGTCTGATTGGCGCGAAGCAAATAAATGTTCTAACAAAACGATTAAAAAAATCTACAAGCTACCAATATAAGAGTACTCGCAGTTTACTGAAAGCTAGTTCAAAGTCAATTTAAACTAATGAATAAACCATGTTAATATTTATGATGTTCCTCAGACTGTGTTGATATCTCTATCGACGTCATATATAAGTTGCATAATACAGCATGATTAACATTGAGAATGTTTCAGTATTTCAGTTGACGTTTCAACAGAAATTGTGCAATGAATCCATATTGCTTATGTATATATTAGATTTCATTTGTTCTTGTAACAACTAAATTTGTTTATCACATTTAAGTTTATCAATGATTGAAAGCATTTATTGATTCAAATAATAACAAAAAGATAATATAATTAAATATAAACAATTCATTCATACTAAGCAAAAAGTAAAGCAGGTAAATAAATATAAAAGTTTAACAGTTAATGGAAAGCAAATCTGAAAGCACAATGGCAAAATGTTCATCAGCGTCCTCATCGACATCCACAAGAATCCGCAACCATATCATCATGTAAACGAACGACTATTTCGTCTTGTTCATAATATAACAGTTTAAGGGGCTTTAATTTGGTTGGTACACAGCATGGCATAGGTGCGGCCTTCGGTTGACCAAGTCTCATTAAACTTTGCAGCATGGCATGATTCGTTGGTGTAAACTTTTCATCCACTGGGGATTTACAAACACCTGTACATATTTTTGCATTGAATACTTTAGGGTATACAATCCATTGTCCCCATCCTAAATGATTAAAATCAACGTCAAAATCTTGTAATTGGCACATTTTTCGTTTTCTTTTTCCTTTCGTTCTATTTTTCTTTTTCTCTCTTTTCTGTATTGCACGTTTGGATCGCGATAATTGTTCTGCAGGGTTCATTTGCATAATTTTTTCGTACATTTGGTGAAGAAATCCCTTATCTTCAGAAAAAATAATTAATAAAGCGTCATTTTTAGTTTCGCTTTCTTCTCGCCTCAGTTTGCGACTTTTATTTGACGGTTCAAATTTTATATTTTTCTTGATAGATACTTTTATAGTAATGTTACCATGAACCTGGTTAATCAGTGACTTAATAGTCGTTGATAAATTTACAACGGAATATTTCCCGTCCACTTCAACATTTTCCTTTGAATGGTACTTTAAAATTGAATGCCCGTTTTGTTTGATTACGTATTTAACTTTTGTTTTGCGACTTATCGATTCTTTGTTCTGATGAAGTCTCAGTTCCACTCTTTTAATTTGTTCCTCCACAGATAATGCATGAACCTTAAACTTGTATACGTCATACATTCTATTAAATTGTTTAAGCTCTGAAAAAAGAAGAAAAAATGCATATTAGAAAAAGCAGAAAAGTTTGAAAAAAACTTAAGCACAAAAAACCTGTTTTGGACTGCTAAGAATATAAATTAACCACGTATCGTGTAAATACAAACCAATTTCCCCGTTTCCAATTGCAATCATATTTGTATTGAAAGAAAAAAGAAATACATTGTGCTTGTCACAAGACATGGTCTAGTATAGACATTGAATAACTCTTTTTTACTATGTTGATTAGCTTATGAATGTTTTACGCTATAGGTAACTTTAAAGTCTCCTTCGAGTTATTTAGATCCTGGACGTGCAGAGAGCGTAGCATTCTCTCAACATTGGGCATACGATTAAAGGTAAATATTACGACAGGACGCAGTGGCTATCTCAGCTTTTTAGTATTTATATACATGTAATGTACTGATAACATCAATATAATAACAAGTAGTATTTACTTTCCGGTAACTAGGTTGCTCTTTCGTGTACTCTACTTAATATGAAAAAAGCATGTGGTATGATTGCCAATGAGACAATTATCCACTAGAGTTCAAATGACGAAGATAAAAGCAATTATAGGTCACTATACAGACTTCAACAATGAGAAAAACTCATACCGTATTGTCAGCTATAAAAGGCCCCCACATACAAAATGGGAAACAATTCAAACGAGAAAACTAACGCCCTAATTTGAATAACACAACGTACAATGCGAACTATCAAATTACCAAATGGTGAAATGAAATTCCATAAACCTCGATACACAAACATGTTTAGCTGTGGAATTAAAATATGATCCATTTCAAATAAGTGATAAAAGTCGCACAAAGGTGTCAACTTGATAGGGAAATCTAGATGGCTTAAATATGCAAACAGTGTAATAACTTTTTGATACCGGTTTGATTACTTAAATCGTTGTTATAGACACTCTCAATCCTAATTGTACTATAATTTGGATCAGATATTTACCTATTTGTATATCTTACGTAGGCCTAATCCAATTTTGTTGAAAAAAAACTCCCCCGCAGTTAATGAAAAATGCATGATAAGAATGTACAGCGGAATTCTGATCGGATATTTAAAATACCATACTGAAGTTAAAAAAAATACCAAGCGATGATCCTAGATTTGAGTTATTATAAAAGGTAAATTTATGGTAATCAAATAATATCAATAAAAGTCAAAAAATAAGAGTGGGCAAATTTTATCAACTAAGGACACTTTTTTGAAAACACAACCATTTGATTGATATTAGAAAAGAGGCTTATATGTAGTATAATCGGAATCAACAAAAAAGTAGCAAAGAATCACGCTCGCATCCAGAGCTCGCACCAGTGCTAGTGGCCGTGTTGAGCTTGCAGTGATTTGTGATTCATTGCCTCGTGTTGAAGGCCTTACTGTGACTTCGGGACGAAAAGAAACTCATCATAAATACCAGGGTTAAAATTTTGTACGCCAGACGCGTGTTTCGTCTACAAAAGACTCATCAGTGACGCTCGTATAAAAAAAGTAAAAAAGGCCAAATAAAGTACAAGGTTGAGGAGCATTGAAGACCCAGAATTCCGAAAGGTTTTGCCAAATACAGCTAATATATAATCTATTCCAGTGGTAGAAAATCCTTAGTATTGCGAAATATTCACAGTTAATTTATAATTATGACCATAGGAAAACATTCTTTTCATTTAAATGCAACATAAAGATTCAATACATAGGGATATACAAATAAGTGACATTTCTATTAAAGTTAATACCGGCTTTGTACGACAGTATAACATATTTCAATAACAAACATTGCTACATATGCGGGACATGGTATTGTAGTCCTTTTCCCCGACAACCTGATTTTTTGAATAAGCAATTTTATTCTAAATGTATGAGAGAAATTTAGTTATTGAACAAAGCTGGTAAAATGATGATTATGATGGCCGATTCAAAGGCTACTCAAAAGTACACAATTTAAAAATTTCACAAGACAATTTGTTTTAACACAATTTATAAGTGTCTGATTACTATGATATGCAAATTTATCGCTCTAATACGGTAAAAAGAATAAACGCTAATGCATGCTCTGTAAAACTGTTTTTAATTTAATATATACGACGTTTTTGGTCATTGTGCAAAGGACGACTTTTTGAATTTACACAATAAATGTGCTTTGGTCTAATATTATTTTTTTATTCTAATGAATAAGTAAAAATGCAATTTGAATTAAGAATTTAAATGTATGGGAGAAATTCAGTAACGAACCGCAATTGTACAAAGCTAGTAAAATCATGCTTATGACGGACTATTGTCGGGGAAAAAGGACTACAAGTGCAATGTTCCGCATATGTCGCTATGTTTGTTATTGAAATATGCTAAACTGTCATACAAATCCGGTAATTATTTTAAAGCAATGATTTAAATAAATAGTTAATAATTGCTAAGCAATAATTCATAAAAATAATACTTACTGGATGAAAAACTTCTTACTGTGTCTGCAGTATCCAAATCACCACTTCTGTCCAGCATCCCAGAAGCTTTTAAGACGTCATTTCCATTTTCTAATTTATTTAACAAATCAAACATGTATTCGGCAGACATAACTTGGTCTGATCTTTCAGGAGTAATGTGTGTAAGTTTTACAGCCTCAGTTTCGGACAAAAAATTGTTTCTATCAGTTGATGGTGTTCGATAATTTTTCGATAAGTCTAAAAAGTCACTGAAACAAACTACAGATCGGAAAATAAATAACGATAAAAAATGTGCTGCTTGTATATTGACAGTCCACATGTTGGCTCTAGCATTACTTTCAGACAACTGAATCTGATAAGAAATATGTGTTAGTTTTTAAATACATGTAGGTCTGAATCTAATTCTATAGAATTAATTGTACGGCAAATTGATCGGTGATGGCTCAATGTCAGTCGCTTAATCGGAGAAGAAAAGTGAAAAGATTAAAATATACCGCCACTAATAAGCGTTATCATTTGACCTATTGATCTCAGATCGTATTATCTACGTAGCTAATCCTATCTCGTTATATTCTGTTTTTAGTACTTATCTTCGTGTTTTTAGAATGCATTATGACTTTTATCAAATTGCAGACAACCATCCGTATGAATGATAGGTGTGGGAAAATATGAGTGTAGGTAATTTTGATATCTGATGATCTATTGTACATGTATCAAATTTTAGAATATAGTTAAAGTTAATTATTGAAAGAAAGAAAACATTTAAGAAAAAAAAAACGTATTTTGAGAATAATAATTTTAAAAAAAATTAAAATTTTAAAAAGTGATTTTTTAATTACAAGTTGAATTTCTTTTAAAATGAGAAGATGGTCTATAATGTTCTTGAAGTATGTGCCGCTGGAAGTTATGCGAACAAAGTCAGTAATTCAATCAATAAATTCCAAAGTAATAAAATATTATCTGTAAATGTATTAGCCGGAGTTGTGTGTTTAAAAACACATTTAAAACAATTGTTTTGCTATGGCGTACAGCAGATTTTTGACAACCGGAATTATTGCCATTAATTTTTAATACAATGCATTTTTTCAATCGTGTACAGCAGATTTTGATTGGTGCAATGTTACCTGCTGCATTTGCAGTACCGATCGATAGCCACAATAGAGTGTGAAAATGTTAAGAGATTCTACCTCATTTTCCCGTTTTTATTTTACCAGGAAGGTCACGAAAATCGATTCTTTACTTAAACTGGCTTAAACTGGCTGCATGTGTTCCGCCACATTATGTTATATTTCTGAACATTAAATCAAATTTGACTTATACCTAAAAATTGACAAATCTTTTCGCATCCAGTTTTTCTCTCAGAAATAAATGTGGGGATATTCATAACCATTTCAAAATCTAAAAGTCTATCAAACTTAAAATAGGATTAAAAAAATTCCTCCTCCTGGGTTCTATGTTCATTTTGATTGCACGTTAAGGACCGTTTCTAAAGTTTTTACTATTGACAAAAAGAACAGCTACTGTGTTTTACCATTCTGCTTTAACTGTTGAATTTTTTTTTTCAATATTTTTTTTTTGGGGGGGGGGGGTATTTGTTTTTAATTCGGCCGATAATATTCACTTTCCACCTATAACAATTCATGTATTTTATTACGAAATATGGTTTGAACAATGCAATTCATGATCTTTTAATGATTTGCATAGCATTGCTTTCGCTTTTGTTTATAACGAAAAGCTCTGATTACAATGTAAAAGATGAGTTACTATTGTACTTATAAGTTTTAAATGGATGCAAAAAATCAAGTGGAAAGTATAATAGAAGTACAAAAAGGAGAGCCCTCGATTTATTTCATACAAGGACCATTTTCAAAATGTCATTCGATCTTTTATTTAAATTTACAGTACTTTAAGGTCTTGATTTTAAACACGTACCCTAACAGATGGCAAACTTCAACTTTGAGAGATTTCGGCAAGTTTCGAGATTATATCTAAACAATGAACAAGAAACTACATTCCTTCTGAAGTAAAATTAAGTTATGTCTTTCAGACACACATTGCAAATTAATTCGTTTTGGTTATTGTTGTCCTTCGATTCAAGATAAACAAAATATTACAAAAACCTCTAAAATGTTCAATATTTTATTAAAATTGCCTTCAACGATAATTCTTAGCGCTGTATAAAATTTTGATTTCATTGGTTTATTGATAATTGTAAATATATCCCTTAGGTATATTGTTTAGGTTCTTTCATCATTTCCCGGTACAAAGTTCCACCATAGCTTTCCTGAACTTTGTGAATGTTGTCCTTTTGAGGGATTTAGATCTGGGGAAGTAAACCATACGTCTTTATCTTGAAGGATGGTGACCTGTTTCGAAATATCAAAGTGAATGAATTGAAACATTAAAACGTGCTTTGTAAAAGTAAAACGTAAAGTGCTCGATTTTCTATTTATTTAGTGTACAAAGTAAGATAACTCATAATACAATCATTATGTACAAGCTGAGTGAAAAATACTATCCGTAGACTATGCA